TAGTTCTTAATGGCCAAACTCTGAACAGGTAATTTTAGAAGAAATTTCCAAAAAAAAAAATTCATTTGATGTATGGGGCCGATTTCCAACGGAAAATGAGTTTAGACCAATTTTGTGTGGTCGCATTTTTTATTGAATAGGAAGGAATTAATCAAAAACTGTTCAAGATAATTAAAATCTAAGTGCAACATCGTAAATAAGACAATATTTTTTTTTTTAAACCGTGATTAAATTTACTATGGTTTATGATAAGAAGTGCTTTCGGGTAGTCTAATACGGCTGCTGTCTTGCTGCTGTTACAGTAAGTACCCTTTCACAAGGTGCATATCTCCTTAAGCCATCCTATTAGACCTTCTGAAAGTTTCTTTAATCACTGTTTTATCTAAGACATTTTGTCTACTTTACGATGGTGTACTTATTATTTTATTATCTTGAACAGATTTTGAGCAATTCTTATTCAATGCAAAACGTGACTACACAAACTGTTAACTCCTTTTTCGTTCGGAATTGACCCAGTATAAAATGAACTTTTATGAAATTTTGTTTAGCATCACCCCCCTCGGAGTTTTGACATTAAGAACTGAGATACCTTGTATAGTGGAGGTAATTTTGATAAGACTAGGATAAAAAATCTCCCTTTATTGATTTTTTTTCAAGGTACATTCATGTTCGATTTATAGAAGTTCTAAGGTCTCTCACCTTGACAACCAATCATACAAAAAGCAATGCTTAGTAGTGAGTAAGCCGGATTCATAAATTTAAAGAACCAGTTTAAACAATGGTAACACCGAACGAAATAAGGCGAGCTCTTTGTTCGTTTTCTTTGATGAAGAAGTAGATGAGGTGGGGTTCGGATTCTTAAGACGCCTGTTCCGATGTAATGGCACTAATTCCTAATGAGAAAATCTTATCAGCTTTAATTATAGCCTCTTCATTTCCTCATCTCAAAGGTGAGCTTTTTTTCGGAAATGTTGTTAACTTCAAACAGCTTGATGATGAATAATTTTCCTGATGGTTAAAAAATGTGTGATTGAGACAAATTTATACTGCAAACTTTAGGCGCTCTCCAACGGCCCCTGGATGTTTGACTATGTGCCATCGGGATAATTGAGTGTAGGGGCGGTAGTCTAACGCTTCAATTTGATTTTATTTTTAATTTACCTGTTTGAGAAACGTAATTAAAAGCACGAGCCTTCATCATCAAATGTAGATTGCTAAAATTGTCAATTTTAATCAACAGTTCTCTCTGCTACTGCTTATTTAAAATAACAGTTAAACAAAATAGGTACTGTTCATTAATTTGATGGATTTCATAATACCGTATTCCGTGTTGAGAATTTATATCTCATAATTGAATGATGATGATGAGAATGATTTGAGAGAATAAATTAGTATTACAGGACTTCTTATTTTGTTATTATTATTATTTTCCTTCTATGGAAACCCCAAAGAAGTCCAAAAGTAAGAATGAAGAACTTGGTACGATGAAGAAGGTACCTTGACAAGACAAAATAAAATAAACAGTAAAAGATTTAAAAAAAAAAACAATATTGTTGTGCGATTTTTAGAAGAAACAATTAACGTGTACATTTGATGATTAAAATGTAAATTGACCAAATAGGATCCTTAATATTGATGCTTGCTTGTAATTATAAATAAATAAATTAAAAAGTAGAGTAAATATAAAGATCTAGGCAATATAACACTGATAAGTTTCTATACCCATTAAACTCAATCCATGTCGCTATCTTTTCTAAAACCTATCGTTTCGTTGGGCCTCAATTTATTTCGATATCAGCAATGAAAATAGATAATGTTTCTTTTAGTTAAAATAAAAATAAGTTCTTTTTTTCTTGACCTTCATAGACTGAAGTCCTTTAGAACTCTTCTCTTGCTTATCTATCGAGTCCTCAATCGACTGTCAAGTTCAGGTTTTATGTCTGGAGACATGAAACCGGTTGCGAATAATATGAAATTTGAAGGAAGAAACCGTACTTTCGTTTTGATTTGAAATACCAATTCAATTCAACAATTAATTACTTCATTTTAATATTTTTTAAATTCTAACTTTGACAATCTTCACTGTGTCGTATGAACCGCCACCTGCAGCGCTGCTACCGGTTTCAGATTTCTCCAGAAATAGCCATGGCAAATATCCTTTGAGCCGTAAAACCGTAGCTCTCGGAAATCCTTGGTCCGAGTGCACTCGAATGTTGAAAGTTTTTATTGTTGAAAGATTTTATTGTAAGAAGTAATTACAGAATAAATTAAACATACTTATATAAGAACATTAAGAAGCCCTAGAAGATTTAATTATTGGTACCACGCATAAACCTTCAAATTATTACATTTTTCATTCACTCAAGTATGAAATTTTAAAACCTTCATGTATTTTAATTAAAACGCTTGTAAATTATTCAAACTGTTGAATTTATTTTACAGTCCACTTTTATCTTTTATAATGAAGTTTATGTGTGTCATATCTGCTCGCACGGAAGGCATACATTTTTTTTTTTTTTCTATTTGTTTATTTAGAAATATTACATTCTGTCACATCAAGGACATTTATAATAGTGATCAGAGAAAGCACACTCACACTCTATTTACAATAAAAATAAATAAATAAATAATACAGAAACTTAATAATAATAAATACAATAAAATAAAATAAAAATAAATACAATAAAATAAAATAAATGTATATAAACAAAAGAACTAACCTAATCATACACACTCGGGCTTGAGTGGAGGATCTGGCCATTGCCAAAACTCCAATAGATGCTTATTTACAAAAGGTCTCTGGGCCACTGCCGCTTCAACCTTCGAGGAGGATTGTAAGGATGGGTGGTGCTGGATAGAGATTGTGCAAGGGGATTTGGATGATAGGTAAGGTTTTGGTGAAATTTGGAGAATTTTTCTGGAATAAGGACTAGGACAAATGGGATATTAAGGTCATGGTGTAGGATTTTGTTATTTACATAGAACGGAGCATCAACTATTGTTCGAAGGACTTTAGATTGAAAGGATTGAATACGTTTGATGTTAGAAGCTTTTGCTGTCCCTCACAGTTCAAGTCCGTATGTCCATATAGGTTTCAGTATTGTCTTGTAGATAAGTAATTTGTTTTCAATAGAAAGTTTGGATTTTCTGTTTAGTAGTCTGTATAGCTGGCCGTATCGTCGGTTGAGTTCTTGTCTTTTGAGTCTAGTATGTGGGTTCCACGTTAGTCTTCAGTCTAAATGAAAGCCAAGATACCGGACTGTGTCTGAGTAAGGAAGCTGGATGGAATTAAAGTGTACTGGTGGACAGGAACTGCGTCGGAGTGTAAACGTTATATGTTGGCATTTAGATTCATTAGCTTTAATGCGCCAGTTATTACACCAGTGCTCAATCAAGGTGAGGTGGTTTTGGAGATTTAAGGATGCTATGTTGGGATCAGAGTTGGATGATAAGATTGCGGTGTCGTCAGCGAATGTTGCAAGAAAAGTATCGGGATGAACAGGGATGTCAGCAGTAAAGAGGATGTAAAGCACGGGACCCAAGACGCTGCCTTGGGGAACACCGGCTTTAACGGAGTAGATATTGGAAAATTCTGTTCCACAGCGAACTCGGAAGGAGCGGTCAGAGAGGTATGATCGGAGGACTAGGTACAAGGACTGAGGTAAATGGATTTTAAGCTTGAAGAGCAGTCCGGAGTGCCATACCCGGTCAAATGCCTGTGCAATGTCCAGAAATGCACCCGAACAGTATTTCTTGTTTTCTAGGGCTGAGGAAATATAATCAACAACTCGGAGTCCTTGTTGAACAGTAGAATGTTGGGAGCGAAAACCAAACTGATAGGAAGGAATATTTTGGGATTCTATAATGGGTAGGATTCGTTTCAAAAGGATCTTTTCAAAAATTTTTGAAAGGATTGGGAGTAGGCTAATTGGTCTATAGGATGTTGAGATATTGGGAGGTTTGCCTGGTTTTTGGAAAAGGATAATAGTGGAGTGTTTCCATAGCAGAGGAAAGTGGGTGGTGCGTAGGATACAATTGTAGATATATGTAAGGAATATGACTGCTTTGGATGGAAGTTGTCGAAGGATTTGAGGGGTAAGGAGATCATGTCCAGGAGCTTTACGGGGGATTAATTTTTTTAATTGAAATTTCACTTCGGAAGGATGAATAGCTTTTGGGGGAAAGGAAAGTGGGATTGGTGATGTAAGGAGTTCTTCTACTGTTACGGGAAAGGCATACATAAACGCAATATTTGAAAAGAGTCGTAAAATACTTCCTAACGATATTATATTATCGCATTTGGGGATAATATAAATCTAGATCAAATTTTATAAGTTTGTCTAACGCCAGATTTTTAAGTCCATGGAAACATAAATTTAATGTTTTTTATATTTTCTATTATCTATATAAAAATAATATAATAAAAAATATTAAGGTGAAAAACATGGCAGTTGAGTTTGATCCTAGTCCGATCACCTCCCTCCACAATCGGTGACCTTGAAATTGTACTTCCTTACAAAGTACTGTACCCAAGACACTACATAGGTAATAGTGGTACAGATTTTTTTTCTTTTCTTAGCATAGTCAACTAATTTTTTATTTAATTTAGGTCTTATTTGCACCTGCCACAGGATTATATCGACCATAAATTTCGAAGAAAGGAAGAAAGGTTATTCTATTAAACGCTATTGTGTTTCAAATACAATAGCGCATAATATTTAGGTGGAATATTAAAACGCCATTCCGCCACAGAGATTTTCGTCTATCTGTGGAATTATTCTAAATAATCAGCTTTGCTTTGTATGAGAATGAACTGTGACTGTTGATATAGCCAGGCATTCATCTTTGCTGACGCCTGACACATAAGCCCCTAAACCCCTTTGAGCGCACGCCTAAGGTAGCTACTGACCGTGAACGGACTTAGATAAAAGGGCGGTGTCTTTGTCAGTCCTCTGATTGACACCTTGCAAATAAACATAGCCGTATTCCGTCCACAACTCATGACTTTTATATACGGTCTCTTCTCTTAGATATTCTGTGAATAAGGTAAGCTTGCAGAACGAAGGAAAGAAACTGTATTGATATTGTAAAGTCCCTTATTTTGTAAAATTACTTCGCAAACAAAAATATATCCGTTTATTATTCTTAATCATTTCTCGTAGATTACAATTTCCACTGAAAACCATAGCGATTTATGTAAAATTTACAAAATTGCAAAGTGAAAAAAAAATCTGTTGCTCGCAACACACAACTTCCACTTACCTCTCTGCTTTGAATAGATATTATTTTCTGGCAATGTTGAGCAATTATAAAAATTTTCGAAGTGCATTTTTAACGGAGCTATATCTTAAAGTTTACAGCTAACAAATCATTAACACCATTAAAATAACAAATACCCTATTAATTACTTAATTACATATTAACGGTTGACAATAGAAACGTCGGTACTCGATCTGTTTTTGTAAACCACATAAATCCAATCTCTGTATGTATGTTTATGTAATATGTATGTTTAATATATTATATATATATATATATATATATATATATATATATTAAACATACATATATAAGAACATCAAGAAGCCCTAGAAGATTTAATTTTGGGTACCACATATAAACCTTCAAATTATTACATTTTTCATTCACTCAAGTATGAAATTTTAAAACCTTCCTGGATTTTAATTAAAACCCTTGTTAATTATTCAAACTGTTCAATTTATTTTACAGTCCACTTTTATCTTTTTATGAAGGATACACACGGAAGGCATACATAAACGCTATATTTGAAAAGGGTCGTAAAATACTTTCTAACAACATTATATTATATATATATATATATATATATATATATATATATATATATATATATATATATATAACTAACCTTTATATTTGATCACTAAGTTCAAATAAAATAAATTAGAGTACTCTGATTGAAATATAATTCACTTTTATTTCAACACAACACTTAAAGAGATTTTAGAACTTTAAACTTTTTGACTCAATTTACAACGTTTGTTTTTCACATCTGAATATTTAAACAATATAAAATAATTTAAATATTTATAAAACAAATATCAGTTGTGACTGACTTCTTAACAGTGATACTGCTCCTTCACCAGTAACTAAATCAAGACATTATCTTGCAAAATCAAAAAAATAAACAGTAACATTGCAAGATAGATCTGCTACTGCACAGTTAAAATGGCGTAAAATAATGAAATAAATAAACGGAAATTCCAAAAATTTAGATTTATTTTTAGTTTAAGGAAGGAAACCTTATTTGGTGAGAGCAAAGAGTTCTCTACTAGTTACAGTTCTTATCTCTCAAAACAGTTTAAATATTTATATCGAAATATCTTGTAGAAGGTTGATAACAAAATACACAAGACAATTAGTAATAATAAAAGTACTCCTTCCTACAAGAACTAAAATTCGTAGTCCACTGGTGACTGGACAGTTGAGGAGTTAAATTTATACATATGATTTTCCATTTCTTTCTCCCCTCCCATAGAGTCGTTCACATAAGTCTTTGTCTGTACTACTTATTCTTACAGGGTCTGTCGTTTTAGCCTCTGGTTAAAAATGATTGAATAATACAATTCATTTCAAATATTGGTTTTTTAGACGCATAGACATTTCTTTGCTGAAGTTAAGAAGTGATAATGATGATCTTGATTTTTCAAACATTATTCTTCACTTAAGCAGGTCTATGATAGTTACCTCTTTTATTTCCTGTATAGCCCAGACAATTCTTAAGTCTGGTACCAGGATCACTCTTTAAACCCAAAACTGTATTACCTCATATCTGTATACACACACACACACACACACACACACACATATATATATATATAGTGTGTGTGTGTGTGTGTGTGTGTGTATACACATACAAATATTATATCATTTCCCATTCTTTCTTTTTCAAAGGATTGTTCTCTGTCTCATTGGGCTGGGAAATTACTTCAATCCGACTAGAGCTAGCAGGAATACCTCAAGGATCAACACTGAATCATTTATTCTACACTACGTATATGTATAACATACCTAACAATTCTGAAGCATTGCTACATAACATTGACAATACATTAATTCAAACAACCGTAACCCCAGAGCAGCCTCACTTATTTACAAAATCTATTATTTATATTATTTGATTATTTTTCTATTGTTGATATTGTAATTTATTGTTGCAGAAGGGCAGCAGGGGTCGCTGACTATCGTCCGGCGGTCGAGCGGCAAGAAAGGCGAGTACGGACGGGAGGGTCCGGACGACGCAGCCCTCGAGGCGGTGGATCTCGGGACCGAGAACCTCCCGGCTGTGGACACCCCGGATGCCTGCGATAAAGCCGCCCTTCGGTATGTGTTATATATATTATCATATGTATAATATTTATAATAAATTAAATAGTTAACGTGTTGGCAATAAATAGGAAAGTTCCTAAACTCAGCGTTCAGCTTTTGTGGGTTCGGAAATCCATAACACCTTTCCTGAACTTCTCGATGGGATGCAGTTCATTCCTTCACTCATTAATTGAATCGCCGATGGCTCAACAGTTCCATGAATCCACTGGATGTAATCTCTCTATAACCTCAGTTTTGTTATTTTTAGTTAATTGTTATTCCTCAATTAACTTTACACAGGGGTGCCTATAAGAGGGTTTCATGACGCAAGTCGCGGCATCAAAAATGTTTGAATGACCCACCTTTCGACGGGGTGCGAATTTTCGGAGTGAAAAGTTCCAAAACAGAGGAATAGGATGAAAACATGGCACAGACAACAGCAAATGTAATTGTATATGATCTAAAATTTGTCTAATCCTACTTTCGCTTGCACTGTTTTTAAGAAGAGGAGAGAAATACAACTTTTGTAGAGGGAGAAATGTTTCATGCGCCATCCATCTTGGGATGGATGGGCACCTCTGACTTTACGTATGGAGACGGGACATTAACAACGGTCTAAGTGCCAAAACAAAAATTAAGTTGACATTTAAATTGAATATTTTAACTTAATGACATTGCCAAAAAAATATAAAGTGCGGGCTGTACGTAACAATCATTAATAGTTGTGCAAAGTACAAAGGGGGCATGATTGAGCTAATTGCCAAAATGACTTTACAGAATATTATGAGTTAACCAACTCTTATCGATTGAAAGTTGTTCAATTATTTTTTATAAAATATTTTCTTCATATCGTACTCAATACCTCTTGGCGAGATAATGTTACGAAAGCTAACATCAAGAAAAGCATTCAGTAGAATTCAAATAAATAAAATATCATTATGCATCGATTTTACTATTGATCCAAACTTTTGACATTCCTCAACAAACCTCCTTCCTTCAACAGTTAAATCAATTCAGTTCAATTTCCAGTACAACAGATTTTTACGCTCCCAACAATTTCCCTCACAACTGAAATAATTAATGGATAAAGGTCACGCTACTCGGTACTTTAAATCCATGTAAATTTATTGCCGTATTTTTTTTTATGTTCACCAAATATTTTTTCTGAACTTTTGTGTTGTATACATATTGTTTTTCTTTCTATTACTTGAATGTTTAGTATACTAACCGCAAAAGTCATTTTGGAAAGATGATAAGATTTTTCAAACCACCGAATTTTTATTTCAGAATCGTAGTATTTTACAGAATTTAGACTATTTCATCATGAATTTCATAGTGTTAGCTATTCTACTCTGTGCATGCAAATTATTTCTCTCTTGGTCTAAAACAATTCCTCTCATTACTGAAGAATCAATTATTGTGTGTCAAGTTTTATTTATCATAGAGATTACATTAGGATAGTTTTTTTTTTTTTTTTAAGTTTACATTGCCAGTTACAAGGTGTTATTATATATATATTTAATTATATTTTAGGAAAAGTGAACAATTACCTTTAATCTTTTAATGCACCTATAAGTTGTTAGTTAAAAACAGAGCATTTGTTGTATGTGAGGCTTCGAATTGTTAACTACATGTCTATAAAAAATAGTAGATCCTCTATGAAAAATCAACAAAGAACGTGATAAATGAAGAAAATATGAGCCTGTTGGAGCTATTAAGTTTAATCCTAACTGTAAGAACCTGAGCACGTTCCAGCAATATTTTTTCGATTTTTTTTTTTTTTAATATCTGTTGTTAAGAGTTAAATATTTCAAGTATTAATAAATAAATATAAGAAATATAAAGTTTAAAACTATATTCGTTATCCTGTAACATTAATCTAGGCAACATTAGTACACCAATACTACTCAGATAGTATCCGAATGGATTTCCTTGCTAATGACATAGAGGTGGTTGCAAGTCCAACGGGTTGCTTATCTCTTATAGTGGTTGAATCATGAAATTAGACTTGTACCGGAGTGAGCCATTATCTTAATAAACAATGTCTAGACGTCTTTACGACAGCTTGTGTTACAAGAATACTCGGTTGCTTACCATCCTTCCTATTTAGGAGTTGACAACATTACATATCTCTGAATTTAACATATATTATGAGAAAATGTTACGTTAACTATACTACGTTTACTATACTTCTGTGAATATCCCTAGAAGATGGAAGATACATTTGAATAATGGAACCGGCGATGGGTGAACAACCCCAAACGGGTCTACTTTGAGAAAGTTCTTTCCGACTGTCGGATCGCGCCTAGAAAAGACATAGGTCCTCTCGGACTACCGAGCCTTTAGATCCTCAGGGGGCATGGGGGTTTTAGAGCGAAACGTTTTAAACATGGTAAAAACATCGATCTGTGAAGTACCAGAAACCGCTGAGCACATTCATGTAGCCTGCACCAATTATGAGGCATTGAGGGCCAAATTGATGAGGGAGACAGGGCTCTTCATTTTAACAGAAAGCAACTTCCCTTAACTAATGTCTCAGCGAAATTACCCGCAATTTAAAAGCTCTGTGTGCTGGAAGAAAGAAATTGTGGGCCCAACTCACTTCTTCTTGGGTAGGCGTGGAGAAATAGTACGTGGAAGGGCGCCGAACAGTACAGAAGAAGGAGATGGAGAAAGAAGAAATTAGAAATGTGAATGATTTAATCACACATAAAAGCTGGGTGCATAGAAATTTATGATAATATAAAGAGATAAACTTGTGACAGTGGTTTCTTAAGTAGGAATGTGTATCAATTCATTGCGGTAAAACTACCAAATTACCATAAAGGAAGGCTTGGGAAGAAAATAAAATTAAAAAAATACTTCTTAGTAAACAAACCATTGTCCAATGTATTGTCCAACAACGTGCCTACCTATTTATTTATTTATTATCTGAATTTTCCTCTGCCCGATAGGGTGATTGGCAATTTTTTCTTCACTCCAGTTTCTTATATTCTATTGTAGAATCCGGTTTTTTTTTTTAAAAGATCATTAGAACTTCCACATCTTTCTCGCTATCTTGTAGTATTTCCTGAAGAGTACTCTGTAGGTTTTTTTCTTGTGGCTGCATAGTATTCACAATCCACGACTATGTGGTTCACGGTTCTAGGGGCACCACATCTGACGCAGGTAGGCTCTCGATCGTGTAGTAAGTAACCGTGTGAAAATTCGCAGTGTCCAATTCGGAGGCGGCACAGAATTATTTCCTCTTTTCTTGATTTTCTGTTACTAGTGCACTACTTAGCACTATTTACTTTTTTTTGGACAAGTTTGGAGGGGTTTCTTCTCCAGGTCTCATTCCATTGAGCTATTATCTGGGATTTTGCTTGCCTCACCCAGTCCTTTCTAGGAACATAATTAATGGATTTTACCTCATTATTGTCATTACTTCTGGCTGTCCGGAATGCAACGTTTGCCTTTTCGTTGCACTGTACACTACAATGAGACGGAGCCCAAATCTGTTATATTTCCTGCTCTTTTACCGATCCAAATAAGTTTCAAAATTTCAATGATCGTCGCGTGTTTCGATGTTTGGTTTCCTATTGCCAGAAGTACACTCGTTGAATCAGATATAATGATGGTCTTTTGGTGGTTGCTTGCTTGGCTATGTTGAAGGGCTACCTTTATGGCAGTTGCCTATCCCGTAAAGATTGAGCAGGCTTCAGGCAATTTGTAAAGAAAAGTTTCGTTTTCTTTGACCACCGTGCATCCTACTACTGTATCCTTACATTTTGACGCATCTGTATACATTACGTTGTATTCTTTGAATTCTTCTAAAAGCAACAAGAACATTTTCTGAATTTCTAAAGGACACATCGAGAGTTTGGAAGCCGTAGATATTTACATCAATATCACAATGACACCAAGGTGGTTTGATATTGTTTGAAATTTGTTGAAATCATTGCAAATTCATATTTTGGTCCAGGACCTACCTATTTATATCAAAACAGTAGAGCGATAAAGATTGAATTAATGTTTCATGTAAATCACTATTAGATGGCCCTATATAAACCTGCAGATTAGGGAAGGAATGGACTCAAGATATTCGTTGGAATTTGAGCAGTATAACATTCTGTCACAATATGGATAATGGTTATAGTGAGGAAAGAGTACATTCACAACACATTGGAAAAGAAAAAGAAAATTAGGGATGCTCAGGATTTATCTTAGTGCAGTATTTAACTACACAATTGTCACACGACTAAGAATAGGTTGATTATAAACTGTATTGGTATGAAAGTGGATTTGGTGTGAGACTTGTAAATATCTGGAATATATAATATATTAAAATATGTATACTAATAAGATAATGATAATGATCCATGGTAAGACTTAAGAGCAGTACTTCGGTTTCAGAGAATAGAAATAATTTATCATGAACCTTCAGGGAAAGGTATTTAAGAGGCTTTTTAGGCGGAGGTGATAATGAATGCACGACCTAAAGCTAGCCATTGAGGTGGTTCTGAGAAAGAACAGTTACTATGCTGTTCCGGTATAAACATGATAGATGACGTAACAAGTACTTAATGATCTCTATTTTAAATATTAATAACCATTCTTGTTACTGGGCTAATAAGAGAACAATTTCCAGCAGAAGATGTCATCGGATTAAAGCTGTCTTACTGTTGTATAAGAGCTTTAATTTCAAAGGTATCCGACTTCATTCTGCGAAGCCTTCCAGCGGTCAATAAGGAAAGATTGAAAATACCAGTATTGCGTACATGAAATGACAACTCTTTTAAAAGTTATGTATTACATATTAAAGAATGAAGAACAATTTCAACACCAATTATGTTTGTTGAAGAGATTATCTTGATATTATATATATATATATATATATATATATATATATAATAAAAACGTGTTTTGTTAATGAAGCTTATAAGTCAAATACATTAGAGAAAGTCGTGTTTGTTTATCTAGTGTGAGAGCTCTTACTGGGGTGTGGTAGTACAAATAATTTCAGTAATATTAAATAGATTAAATTAATATAAACATTTGAAATAAACCTTTTTTTTTACAATTTATCCTCATATTATTCTAAAGGAATAATTTTTTTTTATATTAAAAAAAAATACATTTATTAAACATTCAGAGTTGAAGTTGGAGGATTTAAGGAAATAATTCAGATACGTTTTGACTATAATATATGACTGATCTGGCAACACAGTAGTTATTTTCTTAGCAGTGCCGGTCTTAGTGTGGGGCGACCGGGGCGCTGACGCGATGGGGCGTCTGTTGGGGGCGCCGGTCAATCTTCAGGGGTGCTTGCTACTTGTTAAACATATTAAAATAATTAATTTTAGTCTATCAATAAAGACACTCTATTATATAAATGTAGAATGAAATAAAATTTAAATATTACATATTAAAACAGCTTAAGAAATTAATTAATTTTTTTAGGGGAGTGAGGCCATTGCTCTGAGGCGCCCAATGTCTAAGACCGATCCTGTTTCTTGGATATTTAAACAATAAAATAAAATTATGTTTTAAACAATTTTTTCTCTCACTTTCTCGCATCTACCCTCAAGAGTAATTGGCATTTTACTAATTTTTTTTCCTATAAAAATGCATTTGCGCCTGGCAACTTATTTTTTTTTTTTGCTTTTTTTGTTTTTCTCCCCTTCCTCGCCGTTAAGGCTATACGGGGTTTTCCCGGGCCAGGAGGTGTGGGGGAGGATTTAAAAGACGCCTGGGCACTGGGACGCGAACTCGTGACTATTTTTATAACACATTTGTCATATATCAGGTTGCCGGGCAACGGTGGTGCTGTGCACAACGTGTTAGCCCATTTGGCCACCCCGCCCACCACCTATCAACTTGTTGTTGACAATCAGCAAATGTGATGGCGATACATGAAATAGTGACATGACAGGCATGGGGAAGGAAAGTACTCAGCAGTACCTCTTCCCTAACTTGTTCTAATTACTAAAGTTGTTTAAGGAAGAAGATACCTCACCCTACGCCTTTTTAGTCTCCTCCTCATGTTCTGAGGTATGTCAGCTGTGGCCATGTCTTTTATTAGTCTGTTATTATGTCCATTTAATTTTTTTTGTCATTATTTGTTGGTCAACTGTTGGAAAGTGGAGGTCAGTAAGTAGAGTTTTATTAGTCTCGTACCAAGGTGCTTTTGTTATGAGTCGCAATAATTTTTATTGGAACGTTGGACGTTTTTGTAGTTGGGTCTTTTTAGCGATGCCGTATATTTGTGACGATTATGTCCATATGGGTTATGTATGTATGTATGTATATATATACAGTTTCTGTTTTAGTTTTAGTTTTGAAGATTTAGAAAAAAGAGAGTAGAGTAGTTTGAGTCGTTTGTTAAGTGTCTTACGTTTCATTTTAACATGCGGACCCCATGCCATCCTTCTGTCCAAGATAAAGTATCGTGTCCGTTTGATGAATTTGATTGTTGTCAATATAAACTGGAGGGCATGTGATTTTTCGAAGAGTAAATATTGTATGTTTGGATTTGTCATGATAAAGTCGAATTTTCCATAGTGTAGACCAATCTTGTAATTTAAGTAAGTGATGTAGTGTTAGTGAAGCCTGTGTAGGTAGGGTCTTGATTTCTTGGCGTTTTATTATAATTTATTTATTTTATAGTACTTTCTTAACTTCAAAAATTTAAACAAAATAGTGACACGCTCTTCAGTATTCTATAGGATTTCTCTTAAGATTGAAGCAATCGTACATACTTAATTCATACAGATAAAGTATAGACGTTTTAAGCAAAGTATTAGCAATTTTAAATATATTACTCATTATTAATACTTCTTATTTTCCGAATTAATTAATATAAAGTTGACTAAGGTTAGCGAGTCGATGATGAGACTTCCACCCCCTGCAAGTTGACGAGATAACCCACATACTCGCGTTGGCCTACCTAGCTTTATTAATGACTTACTCTAATTAATAATTTCCCCCTTATCACGCCCCAGTTAAAAAGTTTGTTAAT